AGCTGGATGGATTGCCTGAAAGTGTCATTTCACAGCTGGAACACGGGCAAGGGGAGAACAAGGGAAGGTTGTTCGTATCGTTTGCACCCCCATCCTTCTACCCGACACTCAGGTTTTTGAAGAGAGCCGATGTTCGGCGGCGCTTCTACATTGCCGGGCACAATGAGTGTAACCAGAATGTCCCAATCTTCCGGGAAATTGTGCTTCTTCGCGATGAAGCCGCTCGTCTTCTGGGATATTCCAGCCATGCGTCATTTCGCCTGGAGGAAAGAATGGCCAAAACACCTGCCACGGTTAATAAGTTCTTGGATAACCTACGATTGAGACTAGCAGGTGGTGGCCATCAAGAGACTGAAGCCCTGCGGCAGCTCAAAAAGCGGGACATTGAATCTCGGGGAGAATCGTTTGACGGTCGATTTTTCGATTGGGACTTTTCATATTACAAGCGGGTGATGCTAGCGACTCAGTACTCGGTCGATCAGCAGAAGGTTGCGGAATACTTCCCCTTGCAGGTTACTATTTCCGGCATGCTGTCTATTTTTGAGAAACTATTTGGTCTTGTTTTCCACAAAAACACAACAGACCTTTATGAACATGGTCAAGAATATTTCTGGCATGAGGATGTTCAACTGTTCAGCGTCTGGGATCACGCGAAGCAAGGTGGCGGATTTGTCGGCTACCTGTACTTGGATCTTTTCCCTCGTGAAGGGAAAAATGGGGGTGCGGCAAACTTCAATGTGATACCGGTATGTCCACGACACACAATCCCTGCTTGCTAACTGGAGATGCTAATATTCCCTGTAGGGTTTCAGTCGGGAGGACGGTACTCGCCAGTACCCTGTAACGGCGATGGTATGCAGCTTTGCCAAACCTACGTCCCAGAATCCCAGTCTATTGAGGCACGATGAAGTGGTTACCCTTTTTCACGAGCTGGGCCACGGCATCCATGACCTTGTATCGAAGACCACATACGCCTGTTTTCATGGCACAGAGACTGCCTTGGACTTTGGTGAAGCTCCCAGTCAGATGCTCGAGAATTGGTGCTGGGTGCCATCTCAGCTAAAGGCCCTTAGCAAACATTACTCGTCCCTTTCACCAGAGTATTTACAATCCTGGCAATCGAAGTCAGACGAAAGTCAGAGACCGCCGCCTGAGCGGATGCCGGACGACATGATCGAGAGCTTAGTCAGGTCAAGGTACGTGAATGGCGCATTGTTCCATCTGAACCAGCTCTGCATCTGCATTTTCGACATGGCGGTCCACCACCCCGAGAGCCACAGCGCGATAGAGAATATGAATATATCTGCGACCTACAACAAGATACAAAGCGAGATATACCCGCCAGATGGCCCAGAGGCTGTGGGCTACGGTGACGAATGGGGTCATGGTTATGTCCGCTTTGGACACTTGGTCGATGAATACGACGCGGGATATTACAGCTATTTATTGTAAGACCAGATCAACCCCTCCAAAACTTATCTTTCAGGTTATTTTCTCATACAGTTGCCGCTCAGTTCCAAGGTGTACTCCGCCGATATCTTCCACACTATTTTCAAGGCGGATTCGATGAATGCAGAGGAGGGTCGGAGATACCGATATACTGTCCTGGAAAAAGGGGGGAAACAAGATGAGATGAAGACCCTTACAGAACTTCTAGGCCGGCAGCCCAATATGGACGCATTCCAATTGGAGCTCGGTCTCGAGTGACGGAGCTGCCTAGGCAGACGTTTTCCCAAGCAAAGAAGCCCCAGTCTAGCCATCTAAAACACTGCTTTGAATGCACTATTTCAAGATTTATATACCTTTCAAGTATTTGTTTCATGGATGAACCGCGTTTTTATCTTCAAATGTAGGAGGGTAGTAGTTATACTTTTCCATATTATATGAAACAATCAAGGCTACAATGTTGTGATATTGGACATAGCTGGTCTTTATGAAGCTACCTAGCTGCTCATTCGATACCCGGACTGACTTAACTCGCATAGATCGCGGTGGTGGTTACATTAGATTCCCGCGTTAGGTGGTACATCGTATGCTGCCTGCCCACCGCTTCTCCTTGAATACTTCCGTGTTGTTAGTATCTGATGAACAATACTGCTCATGAAGCCCATGTTTGAGATGTAAGTCAAAGCCTTTGATAATATTCAATGAAGTGTGTTCCCTGCCTATCATTGTCTCTATCCGCTACTTAGGCTCTCTCTGTCCTTAGACATGTTGACATTGCTATAAGCATAGGCCTCGTTTCAGAGTAGCACGGCGAATTTCACGAAGCTCCCGCTGGCGGTTCCTGAATCTTGCTAACATGGCGGGTATATGATCTCCACGATGCTTCTGATTGCATCCGGTTCCGCCATGAGAAGAATCGTTTTCACGCAGTGGTCCGTATGCCCTTGCTTGATCGTCTCCGCGTCCGTCACCCACCCATGCACCAGTGCTCTATTCAACTTCTTCCACATATACAAACAGTGCGCCCAGTGCCAGCGGTGCGTCGTCCAGATAAGGCCAGTCTGCGACCCCAGCGTGTCAGGATCATCCAGCAACGGCTCGGTACCGTTCGGGTCCCGGAAATAACGCCATGAATGTACAGCCGCGAACTCGGCCGCCAGCTCGTGATCGATACACCGGGGCGGCAGCCAGGCCGTGGCGATGATGTCGAAGTGGCAGCCTCGCGCCTTTGCTTCCGCCGGCGTCTTGCCGCAGGGGAGTGGTGTGAACTTGTGCGACCAGGTCAGCTGGCCAGAGGGGAAGGATTTGCCGTCGGCCGTCAGGACGGCTTCACGGAGGTCAGTGGGTGAAGGAATAGCGGTGCTCCGCCCGGAAAAGAAGGCTGCGAGAAGCAGGGCTGTTATCAGGGTGGACCAGCACAGCCCATACATCCAGCGAGTCCCCGTCCAGCGTTGGGGAGGCAGGTAAATGAACCCGCCTTCGTCGTCTTCGTCGACGTCTTCTTGGTTACTGGCGCCATATTTTCCAACCGGATCGATTGGGACTGGTTTGTTCGGGTGAGCGTCACGTAACATCTTGAACAAAGACTGAGGCTTCCATGAAAAGGGTGGCATTCTTGATGCCCAGTGAATGCAAGGGTTGAGGGTCGCTTTGATAGAGCCCAGTGGATGCTTCTAATGGCCGAGTTTTGTGCGGAAGTCAACCGGCAACTCCAGAGAAGCATACAGCCCCCTGAGCAAAGCCTACCAGACCATTATCAATAACGTTCCTGTGCGTAGTCAAATTACATCAAATCATAGTTTGATGACTGACGGAGGTCTAACTATTGACTTACGTCAGACCTCAGATGACGTGATGTGCTCTGAAATTTATCGCTCCTGGCGGGTTGTGGATCCCGATGTTATATTACGTTACGTTATGTTGCTGCCTCCTTTTATAGTTGGGACTTGCTCGGTTAATAGCTGAGAGTTTCTTCTTAGTGGCTTTCGTATGCGATCTTGATCGGCAGATTCATACGCCGATCTATTCTTTTCAGTTTGTCATAGTGCGATGTCTCTTGCGGGAGATTCCTCGGGTCCAAAGAAACATCAATCACTATGGCAGAAGGGCAGTCCTTTGAAGAGGAATCGGACGGCTTGTTGGGTCTGTCGAAAGAGGTCACGCACAAAAGTCGTCGGCATGATAGTCTCGCGAGATATTTCACTTGTATTTCCGTTTTATTGAACGGTATCTTCGCTGGGTTTGGCCTGATATACTGGATCTGGATAGTCAAGAGCACGCATTCATCATATGAGACCGGGTTCCACTCTGATCTAGGTGAGTGTTTTCTCGACCCGATCTTTCCGAGCCTAATTTTAAACACAATCCACAGAAGCAATTAAATCACACATCCGATTGGCGCAACATAACTTTGCAGGAGGTGTAGAGTTGGACAACGACGGGAGCTTCTTCACAGACCACGAGAGCCATCAATATGTTGCGACCCCTTCCCCGGACGTCGACCACGCGTGGAATAAGCTTCTGACTGGTGAGTCTTGATTTGGCACACGGATGTCGACCTTGGTGCATCCTACTCATTCTGATAGGCTTGAACATTGACCTAGAGTGGCCGGGGGAGAAGCTGAGTGGGACAGCTTTTCAATGGCCAGAGTCCGGCCTCTATTTTACTGGTCTCGAAGTGTTCCACTCACTGCATTGTCTGGTTCGTTAAATCTCTCATTGGAGACAACCTATCCTCTGATAGTAACGCCTGAACTAGAACCGACTCCGCCAGGCGCTCTATCCCGAATACTATCACGTCTTCAACAATTCCAACGACCCCTCGCGCGAGGACCATATTGGTAGGTACAAAGAACAATGTTGCGGTTTGACTGTTCGCCAAGTACTAACGAAGAAGAAGGCCACTGCATCAACCACCTACGGCAAGCAATTCAGTGTCATGGCGATCTCACGCCGATGGAATGGAAGCAGGTCGGCAACAAGATCATTCTCAACACACAGACGCGTCATACGTGCAGGGACTTTGACAGAATCCATAAGTGGGCGGCGCAAAGGCAAACCAAGTTCGAGGATATCGAGAGCATTAATAACGGCAGCCTCTTTGTAGTAGATTGATTGAAAGACACCTATTAGACTTAAGATTGATCAACCTATCTGCGAGCCCTCGAACATAGCATTGACATCAGTATGGATGATATGAGGATCTGATCCAGCGACGCAGAGGGTGAAAGTTGTGTAAGACAATACGGAGAACACGTAAGTTTTTGCAATGCTGCACAGCGCATGTCGCGAGGAATCATCCAGTCATAGTTAGTTTTCCATGAGGATGGGAGCACCAACTTCAGTGGTTATCATACCAGAAGAATGCAACTTCATGCGCTGCAGCTTTTAGTATCTTTCCCCTATAGTTTAAATTTTAATTCCTAGAAGCAAAGTGCAGGAAGCACTATAAGCGTTGGCGTTCGTTGTATCATAGCAGCTAATTTTCATCTTACATAGTAACAGCATATAAAGAAATTCATTCACATTATAAAGAAAGACAAAAAAAACTCACAGGGCTCAATCGGGGATCGAACCCGAGACCTCGCCCATTTTCACGCTGTGCGCAAGGGTTGCAAGACCCGAAGGGCGAATCATACCACTAGACCATTGAGCCGACGTCGGCTGACCAGTCCCTAGGGGACCGAATGCGTCGTGATTGGCAAGGTGGCCAATTTTGGTCATTATGTAACCTAGCGCACGGGCACTCGCACATGTGTCCGCTGGATGCTGATGCCTGGCCTCAAGTGACGAAGCTGGAAAGCCTGTGGCTTTCCAAGGCAAAGAAGAATATGCATTGTAAACCGCTGAAATTTCGCTGATACGATTCTATCTATCTTTACACAATCGTACAACACGTCTGAGCATCTATGCAGCGGGCACCTTGACACTCTGGGTATCTTTTGGCGACAACCCCACCAACCTCCTGAAGCCGATGTTCTCAACAATCCTCAACCCCCCGTTCAGCGGGATGATCCCCTGTCCTCCAGCCGCCAAACTCGCATCATGCTTCCCCATCGCCATCTCCGTCATGAACTTGCCTAGATACTCGGTCGGGCTCACAAAGGACGGCACCAGCGTTCTCGTCAGCGGGCCAATCATCACGTTGGCTGCGTTGTACACCATGCCGGGGTCCGGGATGTACTGCTTGATGGCCGTGTGCTTCTGCGCGTCCACGAAGGCCGGGCGGATGGCCTCGGCCTGCAGTCGGGGGTTGGCGGCGCGCATCTCGGAGAGGAGGGTCTCGGTCTCGCCCTTGACGCGGGCGAAGATGGCGCTGAACATGCTGGGCTTTTGGGTGGCGCCCTCGCCGGAGACGTAGACGAAGCGGAAGGGCTCGTTGTTTGGCGGTAGCTCCGCGAAGGCCTTTGCCGCTGCCAGTGTGTAGTCTTTTGTGATTTTCATGTATTCCCTACGGATGCTGTGTTAGAACCAGGTGTTTTTCTGACGTGCAGGGGAGGAGTCAGCTTACTCCTTGGTGACCTTGTTCTGGCTGATGCCCAGCGCCCAGACGACGCCGTTTGCGCCCTTCAATTTGTCGAGCACGCCGGGCTCATACTTGTCGAAATCTCTGTGAATAATTACATTGATCCGGGGGTCTTTGGCGTCGTCTACCATGGGGATCGGTCTCCTGCTGAGGATGGAGATCTTGGTGACGTCCTTCATCTTGATCATGGCGTCCAGGACGGACGAGCCGACCAGGCCAGTTGCGCCGGTGAGGATGAGATGCATCGTGAAGAGGATGAGCTGGCGTTATGACTGCGTGAGTGTCTAGAGACGTTGGATCACAAATCTTGACCGAAATACTCACAAAACAGGTGGGCTGTTCAATGTCTTTTAAACCCGGCGTCAGCAACGATGAGCGGCCGCTTAGTCCGCTCCCAGCGGAGAATGCTCACCAAGGAGCGGGCATTTCGTCCCCACTGCCGCCCCGTAAGCCGCCGCAGGCGTCAGTGGACGTAACGGCGCCGGAGTTAGCAGTATCACCACTGAGAGCCCCGGCTTTGCCCGCTCTCATGCGGTCTGCTCACCGGAGCCGGGCCAATACATTGTGCAGGACTCTTCCGGGTTCTTGTCCCAATCAACGGTCTCAGATTCCGGCCTAAATCAAGCTCACATGATGCTATTTATCGGGTGAATTTCTCACGATTCTTTTGCTCTCATTCCCGTGGCTGAAGAGAAGAGCGTCCCTTCAGCACCATGTCTGCAACAGCGGCCGCGCCGCCCGCTTCAGTGGGAATCTGACAGCCTAAAAGCCTCCCAGAGCCGTTATTTCAGCGCACTAGGCTTCCGAATGCTTTGGCGTCTTTGCAGCCACCCGTAAACACCGATTAACACCGAAATTTGCTGACCATCTGCAGCATGCATGTTCAAGACAGATTCTTCGTCTTCTACTATAGCAATACATCGGACTCAACTTCCTCCGACGGTCAGACTGACTTCGTCAGCGCAGTTAATGTTCAGATTCCGATCCGGTCGAGGTGTCCGCGTTTCCTCTCGATGATTTCGTTTGATCCAAGTCAAGTACGTGGTAGACGTTTCTTCCACGACTCTGACGACAAGAACAGACTGCTTGGGCCACGCAGCAAGCCTTTGGGCAATACTGGCTGGCTATTGACGTGGCAACTGAACCATGCTCACTGACTGACTGCCTCAAGTAGACAGCAGGATCAAGTCGAGGTCACAGAGAGTAATTCGGGATGAGAATAATCATGCAGTCTGCGATGTTCTGAGTGTGTTGAATTGCGATCGGAGGAAGTTCGTCCCAGAGAAAAGTGATGGAAGGAACAGCCCCCGATGACTCACGTAAGTGTTGCTCAGGTACGCTTTCGGCCCCCAATTCAACATTCATGTCGACCATTGTCGTCATATGCATACTGAGCGGACGCGTGGGTGACGAGGACCTTGTAATTGCAGCAATGAGGCTCAGACCTGCAATTACAGATCAGATCGAATTGGCAGCTCTGATGACACCGTGCCATCAAGGGCGCCCAAGCCAGCATCCGACCCAGCCATACGGGTGTCGCTATCGTGAACATCACAGATGATGGACGACACGTCCAGCAGCGCCGAGCGCCAGAACACCGTCGCCTCACCTGCGAAGCCGGTTCTTCATTGCTCAATGTCTTCAATTAGCTTTCAGGAGTTCCTCGCTAGCGTGACGTCTTGCTCAAGTTGAGACACGTGCATCGCATGGTTTGTCCCGAGTCCTCGGATCATTAAACTATTGGAACCATCGCAGAGGAGAGAACAAGGAGAGGGCTGTCTCCTCGCGCGCCGTCAACGTGTGCTCTGCGGCTCACGCTGCATCCTCCGATGCAGGGGACGGTTCGCCGGCATGTCACGCGCAAGGGGCAACCATCGACCGACGACATGGACAATCACCGTAGACGCTCACGTGGCCTCCGGCATGAAAGATGGAGGCCAATTTGAGCAGGTGCAAGCCGCTCTCTTGTTTGGAGAATGGGTCAAGCTAGCCGCCGTCGTGACCAAAACTCTGATGCGAGAAGCTCGCACTATTTGTTGCGGCCAAGTTCAGCCCAACTCTGTCTCCTGAGAATGGGATGGCCCATGCTTCGGCTATGGACGATGAGAATGCTGAGCCGACGTATGCAGCAAACGGCGATGCACAGCAACCTGCCAACATGAAGTCTTCGCAACACCATTACCATGGTCACTGTGAGCAAGCAGAAGCTGCCTGCGGCGCGTACGCGGCCGCATCCCAGCGCGAGTCAGGCCAATAAACACTGAACCAGCGCCAACTTGGCGAGGTTTGGCTCCTGGTAACGGCCCGATCAAGTGGATCGCCTCTGTAACGCTAACGGCGACTGCAGGTCTGGACGCCTCCATTCATCCATGGCCAGGCCCGTTCTGGCGGGGCGACTTTAAACGACGAAGCTGGGGCGGGCTGGGGAAGAGAGCCCCCAAACGCTGAATGTTGCGGAGAAGAGATCCAGACGGCTCCAGACTGAATCTGGGGAGCAGAATACGGGGTCGCTACGGATGGTTCTGCAGTGGATCGTGACTCTTTCATTGAGGGTCGCGGACGGCGACTTCAGCTCTGACGGTCATGTGAGCATCAAAGAAACAGCCTAGAGAGTCTGATAGGGTTTTGCCTCTATCAAATGGCGAATGTCTTGGCTCCCCAGCAGGCCCCTCTGAGAATCCAACGCTCATCAGCTTGGCAGGAAATGAGTGGCCACAACAACACTTGGCTTGAACGCCCGACTCTGACCAGGGTTTGAGGGATATCTTAACATGCTCGCGTAGGAAGTCCACCACCATGTTCTGCCCATGGGGTTCCCCAGCCGTGCGATGAGGTCGGTGAGATGAAGCTGTGGAGGCTCGCTCCAGATGAGCACGCTCACCAAACCTGTCAACAGGGAGGCGGGACAAGCATCATGCTAGGGGCCGCGCCAGTGAGGTCTACCGTCGACGGCGCCCAAGTCTCTGGGAAACTCAGAGAAAGTCACGATCCGAGAGAAAGAGGACACGGCCGTAGTCTCTCGTCAGTGACTGCCGCGCTCAAACGATCGATGAATATCTCGCGCATCTGACGCTATCGCGAAGCCAAGCATTCTCGACAGACGACTAGGAGATCAACTCGGTCAAACTACCGGCGCGCCAAGCAGGGATCGCACCGAGATGGCTTGCTACGGGCAATTTTCCAGCCACGTTCCAACAAGCTTCTAGCGGCTTACTTCTCTCAGTATAGCTTCACCGGCAGCACATCTCTTCCACTCGCGTGACTGGATCAAGACACCCTTGGCAGACCCCGTAGCCGTCCTAAAGAGCGACGGCCAAGCTCAGCGCTTGTCCCCTTTCGCTCCCCCGCACCACTTCTCCATCCTCGCTGCCCATGGGGTTTTGGGCTGGTGTCGCCGCGAGAATCAGCGAGGAAATGCGCGCCCGGCCGTATTGTGGGCGGGTTGTCTGAGACGGCGTTCTTCCCGTCTGCGTGGCACTCACACCCAAGACGGCGCACTTGTCTCCTTTGCTCGCTAAACCCATCAGTCAACCTCATCATCCCCTGCCGCGCTATTTCTCTCTTCACGGCATGCGAGCTCGACAGGCTGGGCAGGACTAGCGCCATTAACACGTTCCGTGGCATCGGTTCAGGTGCTTTCATCTAGTGCCATGTCTCGGCCCCGGCCCTGGCCCTGGCATCCCACGTCAAACATCGACGCGCCAAGGGCGACGCCGGATCTAGAGGTGATCCAAGCCCACCGGCCACAGACCATGAGGAGGCAACCTGGGGGTGGATGGTTGGGGCTCAACGGGGGCGGTCCATCTTCTCCATGGGGATGAACATCACGGTTCGCCATGGAGCACTTTGGATAAAAGGGGGTCTCTTCCCCGGACATCTGGGGTTTATGCTTCTTGTCATCATCCGCAGCTCAGGAAGCCTCTTCTCCAGACACATCCCGGCGGTCCATCTCAGCCAAGGAAGCACTTACGCCCAACCTTCATCAATCTTTGCTTCCTTCAACCACCACCACCAAGACCATCATCACAATGGCAGGCGGCGGCATCCCATCAGCCGCTCCCGCGCTGGCCGGCGGCTACCTCACCGGTCGCGCCCTCGTCTTCCCTCTCTCCCTCATCATCTCCCTCTTC